GGATGAATAAATTTAGGTGAGATTTTGAGGGCACATAGGATCAAATGCAACACAAAAAATAATGGAAGTCGTACAGTCCCACAGGACAAACTCACCCTCCACAACTTACAATTAATCTTGCCTTTTGGGTTAGTCTGTATTTTTTATGTATATATGACAATTATGTGCACATGCGTGTTTCTGTTTGTGTTGTTGATTGATTATTTCCTTGTTTATGCTTCAGTTTGTGACCAATGCACGTTGCTTAAGTTGTGTGCTTCTTGATTAGTGGTCTTTCCTGGTTATTGATCCGTAGATTTTCAAGTAATTTTGACTGGCGTTGAATGTAATCCTAATTCCTTAGCAAAGTGAAATACCTTGCTCTGACTGCAGGATGTTGCAGTCAAGGTTTTAAGCATGCAGGATTTTCAAGATGATCAGTTGAAGGAGTTCCTGAGAGAGGTATGTATTTTAGTCCACTTGAACTGTTATTTCTTGCTTTTGTATGCTAGAATTATCACTGTCTTTGCCAACGTACGTGTTTTGGTTCTGGTCCTAGCAATCCATATCTATTTTTTGACATATCTCTTTCTTTCTCGGGGTGACAAATTAAGTCAAGAAACAATAACCCCCCCACCCCCCCCACCCAAAAAAAAGAAAAAGCACAGCGGAAATCGCACAAGGAAGAAAACTCCAAATAAAGAATTTGAAGGACCTAAAAGAAAATCCCACAAGGGAAAACATCTCTCCTATTAGCAATTCTCTGCGGTTCAAATTTCTTTCTTGGTAAGAAAATCCCAAGGGCAATTTACACAGGTAAATAAATGGATGGATAAATCCCCATGCCCTCAAGCAAGTTAGGCATATCCAATTTTTTCTTTTTTTTATCAGCAAACTTGTTTCTCATCTAAGGCATTTGTTTCTGTTCCAATAATCTCCATATGTTGTGAAAGATGGTTATTTCTGGAATTCTGTGTGGTCATATTTTAGATGGTAATCGACATTTTTCTTTCTTGAAGGTTGCAATAATGAAACGAGTCCGACATCCAAATGTAGTTCTTTTCATGGGCGCTGTTACAAAGCGTCCGCATTTGTCAATAGTGACTGAATATTTACCGAGGTAAACAGCTCTTCAGTTGTTGTTTGACAGTGTGAAAATGAAAATTGTGTATCTAACCTCCAAAAAATCTCAACTTACATGGAACAGGGGTAGTCTATTCCGCCTTATACACAAGCCAGCTTCTGGGGAAATTCTGGATCAGAGAAGAAGGTTACGCATGGCTCTGGATGTGGTTTGTGCTGAATTCTTAGTGTTCTTTTCTTATGTTAGCATTTTTTGTGAGGTAAACTCTGATACAACTACATGCAGGCTAAGGGAATCAATTATCTGCATTGCCTGAGCCCACCTGTAGTCCACTGGGATCTTAAATCTCCAAATTTGTTGGTTGACAAAAATTGGAATGTAAAGGTACGACTGGTATCATGTTTTCGGGCCCTGTCTTCTCCTTTAAGTCTGTCTCAAACTTCTTCTTGCATATCATTCTCAGGTATGCGATTTTGGCTTGTCGAGATTCAAAGCAAACACATTCATATCATCAAAATCTGTCGCCGGAACCGTAACTCTCTCTCTCTCTCTCTATCTCCTCACACACACACGCATATTGGTACAGGACAATAAACCAAGATAATAGCAGCATTGTTTACTTTGCTCATGAGCATAAGAACCTCTAGTCTGAATCTCTGCACCTATGGGTGGTCGTCCCTGATTCATTTAGCAGCTATTGTATTGCATTGTAAAAGTTGATCAAATACTAAATGGCTGATATAGGCCCCTCCTAAAAAGTAGGGATGTTCAAAGTGATTCCAGACATCTTGCAGACCATGCTTGGTTGGAATGATCTTTACTTTGATAGTAAACGATCTGTAGCTCTATTAGACTAGTAGTTCTCAAGCAAGTCCACAAGTGGTCAAAAATGCTTAAATCTTGCATTTGCTAGTAAGGAGAGCAGATTTATTATGTTCATATTATCTTCTGCATTTTCATTTTTGAACAATTGGACCCCATTATCAAATTTCTCTCAACACCAAGATGGAACGGGACCCAGTCTCACCTATTACAGTATTTGAGATATAGTAAACTTATAAAACCATCTTTACATTTGAATTGAATTAGTAGGCAAATTTAGATATTCGTGAGCTGACTGGGAAATGATAGGGATCTAAAGAAGGTGGACCGAGGAGGAGATTAGTCGAGATGTGTATAAATTAGCCGGAACACCCTTGACCGTTCAACCAAAACGGAAGAAGGTGGTGCTCCGGTGAATGTTTGATCACATGATTGCTTTTGTAAAATAATAACAATTTCATTGACACTTCTAGTTTCTTCTTAAATTACTAATTTCGTACTCTCTATTCCTGGTTTCTATCATCAATCTGTTGCCTGTCCATCTCAATAGAAAGTCAAATATGTTGATGAATATCTTGCAGGCTGAGCATTTGCTTCGCAGTGCATCAACCAAGACGTAATTCTCTTGCTTTTCATTTCAGCCCGAGTGGATGGCTCCCGAATTCCTTCGTGGAGAGCCCTCAAACGAGAAGTCGGATGTTTACAGTTATGGCGTAGTTTTATGGGAGCTTGTGACGTTGCAACAGCCTTGGAGTGGACTTGGCCCCGCCCAGGTTTATTTTAATGAACATTTGATATCTGTATTTGTTGGTTGCTCCAACTGCTGCTATTACCTTGTATAATATCCTCGATTGACATGACCACAAAAACTTTCAGGTGGTTGGAGCCGTTGCTTTCCAAAACAGAAGGCTTGCTATTCCGCAGAGTACCTCCCCAATATTGGCTTCTCTAATGGAATCTTGCTGGGCCGAGTAAGAATGACATGTTATAGTTTTAACTCTTCCATAATGCTTGGACATAGGCCGATTGTCGAACGAGTTCGAGTCAAGGTTAAAAAACTTATTTTTTAAATTGAGCCTAAAAAATTACACAAGGTCAACTCGTTTATAAAATGAGCTGAGTCTGAATGAGACAAAAACGAGCTGAATTTAAGCCAAACTCGAATATTTACACATACACGAGTTGAGTCCGTCAACTAAAAAATTATTCAAATTCGACTCATTTGAAAACCGAGCCGAACTCGAATAACTTAGTTTGATTAAGGGTCCTACTTAGACATGCTGTTAAAAGGCTTTTTCTAGAAAATATAAGGACTTTGNAAAACCGAGCCGAACTCGAATGACTTAGTTTGATTAAGGGTCCTACTTAGACATGCTGTTAAAAGGCTTTTTCTAGAAAATATAAGGACTTTGTAGATTCAGTCAGTTGGGGCTCCAAACTGTCAGTTTTCCGGGGCTTTACTACTGATTATGTTCACTTTCCAACCAAAAAGGAAAAAGAAAACACTGATCGATTATGGAGTATTAGACAGAAATACACTCAACTAAGCATGTTTCACTTGCAAAATTCTTGCTCTATTTTCAACACCATACTTCTGTTTGTCATCGTGGTTTTCTGTCTTTTAGACACTACCATGGCTACTATCGACCCAAGCCCAAAGAAGGAAAAAAACAGACTAAAGCGAGGAGTTCATTGGCCATACATGGTCAAGAGAAAAAGTGAAATGCAATCCGATTGTGGGAGTTAATATTTTTCTTTTGCATCATCATAATGATTTTTGGGGTTTCATCATCAACAAATGCTTGTTTTTGTTATGTTTTTTTTCCTGCTGTTGCAATGCTGAAAATGCATTAGGCCATACAAAATTATCCATGGAAGTACTGCCAAAGTTGATTACAATTAATTTGACTTGCTTTTCAGAAATTAATTTAATTTTCGTGTCCTTGCATTCAGTTTCTGACTCTTCTGTATCCTCTGATGGAATCTCATTTTCATCGACAGTAAGCCTGATCAGCGGCCGTCTTTTGCTAGCATCGTCCAGACCTTAAAGAAGTTAATGAAGTCTCCACTGCGGTTGATACAGATGGGAGAGTCATAAGGAGTTTGGAGGTGTAATAAACTTTTAATTATACAGAATTCACATCGGGGAGTAATTCTCCGTAAACTCGTCTTTCTGTAATATTCGTAAGACCGGAAATTTATGTTGTTTGAAACTGCTGTGCTAGTTATATAGATTCTTGAAGAGAGTAAGTAATGAAATACTTCAGTGTTTCCAACAATGTAATAATTTCGAAAGATACTTCTCACTTCAAATGGAAGGGTAGTTGCCACTAGTACACTATCTTTTTTTTATCATTTTTTCAAGATGATTGAATAGCTTCTGCTTCCCATCTCTTCGGATCCAGATCCCCTCTAATATATTTTTCCTTCAATTCTCTTTTTTTGCACATCATTTATCATTAATGAGTAAGAGACTCACTGTTGATGAGTGAAAAACACACTTATATACAATGAATCTCACTTGAATGGATGACAGATGAAGTAACAAGAGGGCATTAAAGAGAAAGTACANAAGTGAAATGCAATCCGATTGTGGGAGTTAATATTTTTCTTTTGCATCATCATAATGATTTTTGGGGTTTCATCATCAACAAATGCTTGTTTTTGTTATGTTTTTTTCCTGCTGTTGCAATGCTGAAAATGCATTAGGCCATACAAAATTATCCATGGAAGTACTGCCAAAGTTGATTACAATTAATTTGACTTGCTTTTCAGAAATTAATTTAATTTTCGTGTCCTTGCATTCAGTTTCTGACTCTTCTGTATCCTCTGATGGAATCTCATTTTCATCGACAGTAAGCCTGATCAGCGGCCGTCTTTTGCTAGCATCGTCCAGACCTTAAAGAAGTTAATGAAGTCTCCACTGCGGTTGATACAGATGGGAGAGTCATAAGGAGTTTGGAGGTGTAATAAACTTTTAATTATACAGAATTCACATCGGGGAGTAATTCTCCGTAAACTCGTCTTTCTGTAATATTCGTAAGACCGGAAATTTATGTTGTTTGAAACTGCTGTGCTAGTTATATAGATTCTTGAAGAGAGTAAGTAATGAAATACTTCAGTGTTTCCAACAATGTAATAATTTCGAAAGATACTTCTCACTTCAAATGGAAGGGTAGTTGCCACTAGTACACTATCTTTTTTTTATCATTTTTTCAAGATGATTGAATAGCTTCTGCTTCCCATCTCTTCGGATCCAGATCCCCTCTAATATATTTTTCCTTCAATTCTCTTTTTTTGCACATCATTTATCATTAATGAGTAAGAGACTCACTATTGATGAGTGAAAAACACACTTGTATACAATGAATCTCATTTGAATGAATGACAGATGATGTACCAAGAGGGCATTCAAGAGAAAGTACATTGGAGACGATCTCACTCCCATCTCTTCAACGGGAGACTCGTCATTGCTTGTACAGGTATGTCTACATGGTGTATTGAATTGTGCTTGTAGATGGAAAGCGGATCGAGAAGCGGTTGGGTTCGTAGTCCAAACGGCAATGTTTTTCAATTTTTGTGATTTTTTTCCCTTAATTAATTAACACTTCTGCAGCCTAATTCATATTTTACAGGTTTTTTAGGGAAAAAAATGTAAAGGAAAAATGAAGAAGTATTTAAATGAAATATTGGATAGTTTTGGGATCAAACTTTACTTTACTACTTTTGTATATTTTTTTAACAAGATAGTATTAGATTGATCAAAAAAAATAAATTAAATAATGTTAAATTGATATAATAATTAAATATAACTATTTAACTTCCAGTTTGAACCCGTGCTCACCAAGACAAAAAGTCTACTCTGATTCTTATTAACCTATTCCGGTGAAAGAGTGGCATTATTGTCCAACGACCCTTCTCTCCAAAACACGTCACTTTACCCACTTGATAGTCAAACTACATTCTTCTAATAAACTATAACAGCGAGAGGGAGTTCAAGTGATAACAAAGATAAACGATAAATTCAAACGACATGAGTTTAAATTTTAATAATTTTTTGAGGTAAAACTATGAGGAGTTTATTTCTTATGAATACCTTAATTTCGACATGGATGACCTACTTTTGCCCGGACTAGAGGAGAAATTAATTAAGATATGCGTAAGTTTACTCGAATATCCCTGATCGTTGAACTAAAAAAATAAATAAATAATAAACAATCAAGTCTTTCCATGATTCCATCAACACATGTATCCCAAACCCACCTAAGTTTTTATTTTTATTTTTAAACGTTCTGTACCAGCTGGCTTCACAGCTAGTAACTAAAGGTATTGAGCAAGAATCAGCAGGTTGACTATTCAATTAGTACCTAAAATAGTCTTCTACCGGCACATACTCATTCAAAAAAGTTCAAATAATCGAGCTCAAAGTGAGATGGAGTAAAAAGTACAAGAGTCTCAGAAGTTAACAACAGGCAGGGCTCTCTGGCACTATGCCTCATTGGGGTTGTTTCTAAGTGTCACTGTTTGCCTATGTCTAAAAGGTTGTTCAAGGAATCCGGAGCAAGGAACGAGAGACAAAGTCAGAAACGTTAAGTTTGGATCCTCTAAAGTGGGTCGAATAGCATGAAATTCAGTTCATCACAACCGCGCAAAGAGAACCAAGCAACTATGATTCGGCCACTTCACCCACACGCTAAAACGGGTGTAATTAATTTTTTTGTGATAGATGGTCAAATAAGGCTTGATTATCATTGTGCAGCTGTGATGCATCAACCTTCATACTCAAACTTCAATTCACATCAGATTGTGTTTGTTTTTTTTCTCACATTTCGCAGTCACACTTGTTTCTTATGCCTTCAAGTAACTCTGTATTCAAAAATTTAGGAGGTAAATATCCTTATTTATAAATTAACATTTTGGGGTTTTAATGTGCAGCTCAATCTTCCGACATTGTGGCAAGAAGTTTTGTTGATGGCTTCATCAGTTTGGGTGTCAAGTTTCTCAATTTCTGCATTGCCAAGTGCTTACAATTCAGACACCTATCGCCACTACAGGCCCCACCTTTCTCTATGTCATTACTACTTTGGATCGCATTGACTCACTCAGTTTCTTCTTTGTATTCTTGATTGTCATTGTTCACTCTTGTAGTTTCATTGTAACAACAGTGCTGATCTGTCTATCCTAACCAACCCTGTACTAAATTTGGATATTATTCTAATACATCTGTTCTTTATCCAAATTGCTTTGATGAAAGGGTAATACTTGAGAATGATAAGGGAAATCCATTTTAAATTACCAATAAAGATTCTTTTTTAAATCCTTTTCCTCGTTCTGTCATGAAAATTTGTTGAAGTATAAATACTTAAATTACATTCTTGCTTAAACTTTTAGAATAGAAAAAGAAATAAAAAAAAGTGTTATTGAACGATTTTCTGCAATTTTTCCAAATATGGAATGAGTAGAGAATCAAGCTACAAGTCTTGATCTATACAAAAAACATTGATTTTTTTGTGTTTTTCTTTTGGTTTCATTGATAGCAAAATAATCTTACTCTATAGGGACGATAGCTTGATTAATAGAACATCGTAGGGGCTTAGAAAAACAAACCTTAACGGTAGATAGTTGTTGAACATGGTATCAGAGCGAAATGTGTTCAAATATTATCATTACCCTAATCATTAAAAGATTTTCACATGCTATGCTTAAACGGGGCACGTGGGCAAGTTAAAACATAAATACTTAGATTATAAATTCTCTAAACTTGATAATTGTTTAACAGAATTAGAGATAAAAACTTCCAGTTATTGATGGGTGCATCGNACTTTGGGTCGCATTGACTCACTCAGTTTCTTCTTTGTATTCTTGATTGTCATTGTTCACTCTTGTAGTTTCATTGTAACAACAGTGCTGGTCTGTCTATCCTTACCAACCCTGTACTAAAATTGGATATTATTCTAATACATCTGTTCTTTATTCAAATTGCTTTGATGAAAGGGTAATACTTGAGAATGATAAGAGAAATCCATTTTAAAGTACCAATAAAGATTCTTTTTTATATCCTTTTCCTCGTTTGTCATGAAAATTTGTTGAAGTATAAATACTTAAATTATACTCTTGCTTAAACTTTTAGAATAGAAAAAGACATAAAAAAAAGTGTTATTGAATAATTTTCTGCAATTTTTTCAAATATGGAATGAGTAGAGAATCAAGCTACAAGTCTTGATCTATATGAAAAACATTGATTTTTTTGTGTTTTTCTTTTGGTTTCATTGATAGCAAAATAATCTTACTCTACAGGGGCGCTAGCTTGACTAATAGAACATCATAGGGGCTCGAAAAAACAAAACGGTAGATAGTTGTTGAAGATGGTATCAGAGCGAAATGTGTTCAAATATCACAATTACCCTAATCATTAAAAGATTTTCACTTGTCATGCTTAAACAGGGCACGTGGGCAAGTTGAAACATAAATACTTAGATTATAAATTCTCTAAACTTGATAATTGTTAAACAGAATTAGAGATAAAAACTTCCAGTTATTGATGGGTGCATTGCACTAGTTTTCCGTCTATGAAGAACTTCAATAAAAGTCTTATAAAGCAGAGGAGATCCATATTATCGGCTTCGCACTTTAGTCTAGTCAAATCCAAACAGAAGAAAACTATAATCTGCAGTTCTACTCCCACCAAAACACAAAAGAAATCGTGTATCATGTGTATAAGAGACTGATAATTCAAACAAAGAAAAAGCCCTCAGCTGAATCATACAATCACAACGTATAAAATAACAGGAGAGAAAAGAATCAAGAAAACTAACCATTAAGAGAATGAAGATGAATTCTCAACTCTACCCCGTCAAACCACTTAAAGTGTTGGCAGTAACAATTTAAGTGACTTCAAAAGTCTCAAAGGCTTCAGAGCCTCCAAACCTTTCCCAACAAATTCCAGATCTTCCAAATACCATTGATTCCCTCCCTAGCCAAATCGGACGAAGCCTAAAGAGGCGGCTTCTCGTATATTGAAAGCACTGGCTCAGGAAATCCAAGGCTTCAACACCTCGGCTCTCGACTCCTTCGACAACGGTCACTCGCCGCTGGATGTGAAGTGTCTGGAAGTTGAGGAGAGAAGGGGTGCGTTGTTCAAAAGAGCGGAGTTGAAACTCTCGGCGGAGTGGGCGGAGGTTCAGGAAGTTGGAGTAAAAAATAATTAAAAATTTAATTTGACAAAGAAAAACTTAAATTTAAAAGAAGATAAATACAAATATAAATAAAGATTGACTATAGAGAATTTTAAATATAAATAAGGATAAATCTAAATTTAAAAATGAATAAAATATAATCTTTGAATCTTTAAAAGATTAAAAAATCTCATTAAAGAGTTTTTTTTTCATTTAATATGAGTATAAATGTAACATTAGAGAAAACATTTTAGACTATTTTTAAATTTGAGTATTAAAAAGAATAAAGACCGGAGTCTAGAGACGCTCTGATGAGAATGAGATTAGGGTCGATAGTCCAAATGCAAAGCCGCTCCAGAAGGGCTGGACTGATTGGGTTCATAGGCAAGAGGGTCAAGTAAATAGCATTATTATCTGGGGGGAAAAAAAAGTCAATTTGTGAATTGTAAGAAAAATAATGAATACAAACGATGAGGGTGAATTTAGTTATCATACCATTTTCTCTTGTTTAATTATTAATGAAATTTAATAATTTTATAACAATTCAACGATATTTAACCAAACCGCTTAAGAACGGTTTATCTATTATTAAATTTTCAAAGAAGGAGAGATGTGATCAAAAAATTTAATTTTCAAACTAACCAAAATTATACACCAAACTAAAAGTCCAAGTAGGCTTCATCACCAAATTCCTTAAAAGGATGGTGTATTAATGTTGTTGCATGATTTGGGGAACAAGACAACTACTTGGAACTTCTTAGGTTAAATTTTCCTTAGAATTGTGCCCAAACTTTGTTTCATTGATTTAGTTAAAATAAGGTAAAAGAACATGAACAAGCTTGATAGCATCTTTCGGCATGTAATTTTGATTAATTTTTTTTTATACTTTTTTTTTAAGGTTTTCATTGGTGTTTTTTGTGTCGGACCTCCTGTCCACACTTGATGTAGTTTTTTTTATAATATTTTCCTTAATTATCAATAAAATGTTATTTTCCATCGAAAAAAAAAAGGGAAAGAAAATCATTTTTCTCTTACGTGGTTACCATGGAAGATGAAAAAAAGGAGAGGATATGGGAAGACCTGATTTCTAATTAGAAATATACGAAGCAATTTTTTTTTCTTTTTTAGCATTTAATTTATCTATTCTTTTCTCTTATTAGAAAAATATTAGTGAATTTATACTTCTTTTAGAATTTAATTTTCCAACCCTATCTTTCTCTTGTGTGGTTACCATTGCAAAAATTGTTGAGGTCGCAGAAACAAGTGAAGAATAGGAATGATTATAGGAAGGGAGAGCCTTGCCTATTCATCAAAAATGTCAAAAAAACATTTTTCAGTTACGTAAATCCACTAATTAACCACTAAAAATATGTACTACCCAGGTGATTTAGTGGTAAACTGTATCCGTTTAAAGTCATCCTTAACTTCCATGTGATTATTAAATAAGGTTAAATTCACGAAAACAATACAATTTACAGCTTAACTTTGATAGTGTTTTAGTTTTAGACTTTTTGTATAATTCAAACCAAACATTTCATAGTAGAGGGATCCTCATAGTCACATCATGCTCAGAGAGTTTACTACTGATCGTCCCTCTACCTTTTTTATGACCCAAAAAAAAAAAAAACACCCACTAAAAATATGTCATGNACTAAAAATATGTACTACCCAGGTGATTTAGTGGTAAACTGTATCCGTTTAAAGTCGTCCTTAACTCCCATGTGATTATTAAATAAGGTTAAATTCACGAAAACAATACAATTTACGGCTTAACTTTGATAGTGTTTTAGTTTTAGACTTTTTGTCTGAGTTAGTAGTTATAATTCAAACCAAACATTTCATAGTGGAGGGATCCTCATAGTCACATCATGCTCAGAGAGTTTACTACTGATCGTCCCTCTACCTATTTTATGACCCAAAAAAAAAAAAACACCCACTAAAAATATGTCATGAGTGCAATTTTTTATTTAATACATTTCTTTTACTTCATCATCATATAAATAATCTTATTCAAATGAATGACATTGACAGAGATACTGTGCCATTGTCGATTTAGTAGCCTTACCCAAAAAAATAAATTACATTAAGGTTGAAGACGTCCTCCCCAAGTTTCCAACCTTCTAGGTGTACAGTAATGCTAACCAAATTTGATCAGTGTAGCANATACTGTGCCATTGTCGATTTAGTAGCCTTACCCAAAAAAATAAATTACATTAAGGGTGAAGACGTCCTCCCCAAGTTTCCAACCTTCTAGGTGTACAGTAATGCTAACCAAATTTGATCAGTGTAGCATTACACCTGTAACCCGTGCGTGCCCGTGCGTGCGCACCAAGGCAAATATAGTCTCTACGTGACTTAGTTGTCTGGCTTTAATTATAAACTATAAACTTCGATGAAAACACAATCTTGATGGGAAGGAGTTGTATCATTGTCCATGGACCCTCCTCTCCAAACCATCACTTTATCCACTTGATCATCAAATCTAGATTCTTTAAACTATGATACTATTTGACTTTAATTTATTGACCAAATTTATCATATCTATTAGATTGATAACGGACTTCAAAAAAATACTGAAATTCACTATCAATCCAATGATTATAATACATTAAATCAACAAATTAAGTAATCAAAAATCATAATTACTAGAATTTACTAAACCCGTGATGACCCACAATTTGAATACATCGATATTAAACAAGGTGGATTTACGAACCAAATCACCAAAATGTATGATCCCAAATTATATTAGTAACACAAATATAAAATATATATTAATTAATTATGTGTATATAAATTTATAATTATATATTATTTTAAATAATAAAAATTCGAGTATAAATGTAAAATAAATAGTAACTAACTTAGTGTTTATAGATATTTTATGATATATAATTTTGTATAATGATGAAAGTGATTAAGATAAGAGTAAGACAAGAGTTCTAAAACGAATTGCAACCCCAAATGTCGTACCAACTACACCTACTAACATCATACTGTATACCCATATGCCCATACCCATATCCGTATTACATACCAAAGAGATCCACAATCTAAGTAACATTTGAAATAATGGTTCTTTCTCTAAATCAGCTATTACCTTCCATCAACAAATGGACACCAACCCATCTAAGAAATTTAATTATTTAAACAAGTTGTACCAAATATGATTAAAAAAAAAAAGTTAAATGGCTTCACGCCTACACCAAAGTGTGTTGAGCAAGAATCAGCAGGTTGACTATTGAATAAGTACCTATAAATAGTCTTGTATTGGTACATACTCTGATCCAATAAAATTCAAGTAATCGGGCTCAAAGTAAGATTGAGTCACAAGCACAAGAGTCTCAGAAGCAAACAACAGGCAGGATTCTCAGGAACTATGCCTTACTGGGGTTGTTTCTAAGTGTCACTGTTTGCCTATTTGTAAAAGGTAATCCAAAGCAAGAAACGAAAGGCCAACTTAGAGCTGTAATTGGTGAGTTGGAATTAAAGTCATGCTTATACTCGATAGAATTCTGTCTGGGGTTTGAATCTCTAAAAGTGGAGTCGAACTTTATAGCATGAAGTTCTATCGACCAAAACCACACAATGAGAACCAAGCAACCATGATTTTGCCACTTCACCCACATGCTGAACAGGCACTTCAGCGTCATTAATTTTTCGTGATAGATAGTCAAATGCCACTGGAATCTCATTGTGCGGCTATGATGGATGGAACTTCAAACTGTAAAGTTCAATCCAACTTCAAAGGATCAGATTGCATATGTTTTTCTCATAATTCACATTTCACAATCACTCTTGTTTCTATGCCTGGAAGCACTCTTTGTATTCAAACATTTAGGAGGTCAATATCATTACATTTATTCTACATCGACATTTTGAGGTCTAATTGTGCAGTTCAACCTACCGGCATCATGGGAAGAAGTTTTGTTGATGCCNATTCAAACATTTAGGAGGTCAATATCATTACATTTATTCTACATCGACATTTTGAGATCTAATTGTGCAGTTCAACCTACCGGCATCATGGGAAGAAGTTTTGTTGATGCCTTCATCAGATTAACAATCAAGTTTCTCAATTTCTGCATTGCCAAGTGCCTACAATTCAGATACCTATCGCCACTACAGCCTGCACCTATTTCTACATCATTACTATTTTGGGTCGCATTGACTTACTCAGTTTCTTCTTTGTATTCTTGATTGTGTCATTGTTCACTCTTTTAGTTTCACTCTAACACTGAATGTCAATACGTCTACCCTCATTCTGTGAAGAGAACTAGAGACAAAAACTTCCAGTTATTGATCGGTACATCGTATCAGTTTTCAACATATAGAGAACTACAATACAAAATTCATATAAAGCAGAGCAGATTGAAAAGGACCAGCCTGATCATTGGCTTCTTACTTAAGTTTAATTCAAACAGTGCAATCTTCAAGAAGAAAACTGTAAATCTGCAGTTATATCGACACCAGAAGACAAAATAATTGGTGTAACCGTGTTAAGTCATTTGTATAGGAAACTCCTATTTCAAACAAAGGAAAAGTCCTCCTATACATTATACTATAACATCAAACTCAATGTATAAATAACAGTAGAGAAAAGAATTGAGAAAACTGACCATTAAGAGAACGAAGATGCATTCAACTCTTCACCATCAAGCCACTTAAGTGCTGGCAGTAGTTTAAACAGAAAGAACTTGAACTTTTTCTCAGTAACTGAATTCCCCACAATATCTAGTTGTGACAAATTCAGCCCTCTAAAAATCAAAAAAGCTTCCCAGTAGTTTGTAGCGTTAACACCACTGATTGCAAATTCCTCAAAATTCCAATCACTTCCAACTGTATGAGACAAAGGAGAAGAGCACAAATATCTGCTTGTGTCAACAGAGTGTGCACCAATCTCATTGTATGAGACATCCAACACTTTTAGTGACCTCAGAAGTCTCAAAGACTCCAAAGCCGTAAAACTCTGAAGTTTATTGTTGCTAAGATTCAAGCAAGAGAGAAGATGCATAGCCTCCAATCCTGGCCCAAAAATTCCAATTTAAGGGAGTCAGTTTCTTCCCTTTTAGGAAAATAGATGTTTCTAAGTTCAAGGTGCAAAGACACATCATAAAACAATCGAGAGCTTTGAGCTGCTCCATTTGAGAAACTATTGAAAACCATGCCATGAAAAGAACTGGTTAAAATAAATAATTTGATGTGCATCTTGTTACTCACCTCTTTGGCGAGTTGGTGCTTTCGGGTGATCCCACTAACTTAAGTGTGGAAACCCTTTGATTCATGAATGATATACTTCAACATTTCACGCCTTGGATCCTACCACAACAGATGGCTCTTTTGTTTACTTCAGTTATTTTGTAATAGCTGGTGTAGATGTTGAGAAGTGCTGCATTTCCGGAGAGCAGTGAAAATACTTTAGCCCCCTCTTATTTTTCTTCCTCCTGTTATTTTGTGATCTCTTCCTTTCTCACCTCTTATCTCTTCTCTATCTCTCTCCATTCTCATCTCCCTTTATTGGAACTCTCGTCCAGTAATCTCTCTCTCTCCTGGCTTCTATCAATTCTACTTATTTATATTTCTTCTCTAAGTTCCTTTCTAGATTACCTATTCATTTATCTCTTGTAATTCGTCTTTTCTTCAATCTCTTCTGTTTAACTCTTCTTATAGAAGAGAAACCTAGTGGATGTAATATTGATGGGAGTATTCAAATATTTCTAATGCTTCAAAAAGGTGCAAGACCAAACTGCTATTTACCCCAATAGAGGCAGATTAAAACATAATTCAAAAGGGCCGCCTCCACAAACTAACATGATCAGTAAACTTCCTTATCTATATTAGGATTTAATGGCAAGAACCACCGAGTGTAAGCTAAAAGGAAGAAGTCCATTCACAATGGTCAAATGAAATTGTGCTTAAATACACATCCAGTTCAGCTCAAAGAGATCTGTCGTGAAACCGAAAGAGGCTTAAAGTACAAATTATGTATGCAAGTTGCTTACCTTCAATTGACCGAAGTTGGTTGTGGCTGAGGTCTAGCATTTGGACCCACAATAATTTCTCAACAGACCCAATTCGCGACAATGAGAGATTATTTAGCTGTAGACACAGATAATTATTGATGCCACCAGAAATTGAGCCCCTATATTGGCGGCAGGAGTCCAGCAAAGACTTCCTATTGGAAGTTACCTGCAGCATCATAAAACTTTCAGTAACTGAACTTTCAACAAGAACTTTCCAATGCATATCAAGAGAAAATCAATCATTGATGCAAGCTCATTCTTGTGTAATTTCACCAGAGACCTACCAAGAAAAATCAAGACATGAAAAGAGCACAAGTACAGGCATGCAATTAAAACATCTGTTAGCCAGGATCTCGATGAAATGATAACTGTGCCTGTACAAGCCGAGCTCAGGCAGAGGTGGATACTCGCCTCCTTACAACCAAACCAAACCAAACCAGCCTCCTTATGCTCGAGTTAATTTAGATCTTCGATTGCACTTAAACTATTTTAGATATCAAACTCTGAGCTAGTGAGATGAGAGAGAAGATTAACACCTCATGTCCAGAGTCTAATAAAGATAAGTGGTCACTTTCCTGTAACCCATAGGTAGTCTCACTTTAGTTCTGGTATTGAAAGTTTTCAAAAACCTGATTTCTCTTTTAAAGATGTCTACCACCAATCAAGTAGCAGCAACAGTTCTAAAAACTTCAAATGTAAAATCAAAAAGGAATTAGGTTTGATGGTATGCAGAGACAACCAAAGGAAACTTTGGTAGCTCAACTCTCTTGTTAATCAAGCCAAGCTCAGAATCCAAGTGCATAAATTAAAATTGACTGAAGCCAAAAGTGAGCGACTGCTGCCCTGAAGCAGACAGGCAAAACCGTACACCTTATTACTCAGCTGAGCTCGGCTTGTCTTAACTTCAACTGGCTCATTTACACCAGTAATTGTGGTTTCAAAGTCTATCAGTCTATAAAAAACCAAGAAATATTGAAGAAAAACTGCATGTATGCAAGGCAACGTCACCACTACTGCACCTCTTTCCCACACCGATAATACTTAAGAGAAGAGAATCACCTTCTTGAACAAAACTGAGCTATATTCATCCTTGTAGTAGTGAGAATGTGGTGAGTCCAATTTCATTAAATCACTATATAGTCCTAGCACTTCTTCGGAATGGACATCATTGAGGACTTTTGGACTGTTGTACGTCATCATGGCATCATGTGCCACCAATAGTCTTGCAAGTGTAAGCTTTCCAATTTTACTACAGAAACAAGATGGGGAAGTTAGGGGCCATTACAAACACTAAAGCTGCTTTAAAGGTTCTAAGTCACTCATAAACAGATCAAGCATACCAATCCATTGATGACAACAATTCCCGACAATGAGCTATCTCATTGGCTATAGTCTTGGCATTCCACTGAGAAGCTGTTGGCTTGGTATCCTCATTGATACTTAGTTGATGAAAAGAGTCAAGAGAGCTTGATTCCAGAAAAGGTGTTTCATGCATAATGAAATTTTCCTCTCCCCATGAAATCCTCTCCACACATTGCCCGTCAGCATGGTCTGAATTACAAGGTCGAACACACACAGTAAATGCAATATGAGAAGGATAGCTATGGTGAATACCACCTGAAGAAACAATGCCCTGGGAATGACCAAGGCTAACCTTTACTTGATAAGACTTTGAAGAATGGAGCTTCTCATCAGGATATCTTAGATGTGTTATCCAGGCTTTGGCACACCCAATATTGTCTGTTGAAAGTGGTCTCCACACAAGATCTTTACTCGCATCATATTCAGATTCAACAGATACCGTAGATGAGCTTACACCTTCAACTGCTTCATTAAAATAGAGAACAAGAGGAAATATTCCAGTATTACAATGGAAACTAGAGAATGGGGATGGAGCAGAACCATTGAGGAAACCATCTCTCGATACATAAAGATCAGAACCATCCGGTGGCCAGGACGAAACTAGCACAGGAGACTGAAGTTTAACAGTCTGATCTAGAAGCCAAAAATGGTAAAACCAACCGCTTTGATCATCCGGGTCTGTAAAAAGAGCATTGCGCACAAAGTCATACTCCTCTGTCAAAAAATTCTCCTTGGGAAAATATCCTTGAANTTAACAGTCTGATCTAGAAGCCAAAAATGGTAAAACCAACCGCTTTGATCATCCGGATCTGTAAAAAGAGCATTGCGCACAAAGTCATACTCCTCTGTCAAAAAATTCTCCTTGGGAAAATATCCTTGGACTCTTTTCTTGAACAAACGAGACAGAAGTACGCTGCAAAAGTCCTTTGGTAAGGCAAATATGGGATAACAGTATTTAAGCAAAGAGATATAGACCTAGTACGGAAAAACATCCCTAGCAAGCAACAATCATTATTGCTCATAGAAATTGAATTTAACCAAAAGATGAAAATCACGCAATGCAAGAGATTTTGTTTACCCACAGCTCATATTATTGTCATCATAAAACTAAAATTCAGAGAAGTAGAATAGAACATACCTACGATTATGCCAAGCAGAATAATTGCTAAAATCGTCATATATCATATTTGTAGTATATTTTAGTTCCTCCTCGTCTGATATATCCTCCAATGCTGTAATGAATCTTAAAAAAACAAAAAATAAGACCACCTCAAAAACTGCGAGTCTTCAATTACTTAAATCATATGAAATCCAGATCCTCACCTCCGGTAACTCCATGCATGGAAATTCCGAGGATCTGCCTTCTGGAAATGACTCAGAAGTCGTAATTCACGATCAGTTGAAGAGTATCCCTTGCTTAGCACCCATTTACGGTGATGCCAGGCTCCATATGACTTAAAATTCTTCTCCAATGCCTTCTCTGCCTGTATATGCATTTACCCTTTTAACCATTTTCCCAAAAGAAAAAAAGTAGACCCAAAGTAATCTCACTTAAAACTATGGTGATCACAACAAAAGCAGATCCCGATTAAACTAAAATTTCAGAGTTCAAGTTTTATATTGGTCTCATTTCCAAAACAAAGAAGACTTGAAGTCAACTCAACTGAACCAAATAGTTGTATCAGACACAGTGGCACTACAACCTAAATTAAAACTTAAAATCTTGTTTTCCCACCTTTTCTATGCAACCAAATAGGATCTACGGTAATAAAGAGGACGGAAAAAAGAACTAAAAATCAAATCTTTTCAAGGCTAAGTTATAATTCATATAGAGAATTTCTACCACACCCCCTACCCAAATTCGAGCAGCGTTTCACAGTAACCAAACAGTAAAGTCATTCAGGGTAAGGAAAAAGAGAGGAAAACCAAATCTTTTCGATGCTAAGCTAAAATTGAAATCCTAAATCCCATTCACTTTTCCCCCAGTTTTTCAGCAACCAAACAGGACCTACAGTACACTACACTAAACTAGAAAGAAAATACAAACGAAAATCAAATCTATTCAAACAATGAACAGTACATGGAAACTTACCACTCTCAGTTCTTCATCAAAAATCGATTTGATAGACTCCGAATCTGCCTGAGTCCCGGACTCACTGAGCCGGTGTTCAATGGCGAGTCTTCTGTAATTCCAAGCCGTGTAGCACTCTGGATTAGATTCGACAAGCTTCGCATTGATCTCCAGGGCTTCTTTAGTATAACTAACCAAATCATCACAAAAAAAAAAAAAAAAAACCAAAACAATAAAATAAATATTCTTGACGAATGGATTAGGGTTTCAAACATATAAAGATACATAGCTATAAAAGGGGAGTTTCAGAAGTTTTACACTCTGTTTTGATGATAATGGAGGAATTGAGATTGAAGAGTGCGTATTTGAACAGCTTTAATAGCTGAGGCTTTTTCTTCCTCCGGAGTTTNCTTGAAGTCAACTCAACTGAACCAAATAGTTGTATCAGACACAGTGGCACTACAACCTAAATTAAAACTTAAAATCTTGTTTTCCCACCTTTTCTATGCAACCAAATAGGATCTACGGTAATAAAGAGGACGGAAAAAAGAACTAAAAATCAAATCTTTTCAAGGCTAAGTTATAATTCATATAGAGAATTTCTACCACACCCCCTACCCAAATTCGAGCAGCGTTTCACAGTAACCAAACAGTAAAGTCATTCAGGGTAAGGAAAAAGAGAGGAAAACCAAATCTTTTCGATGCTAAGCTAAAATTGAAATCCTAAATCCCATTCACTTTTCCCCCAGTTTTTCAGCAACCAAACAGGACCTACACTACACTACACTAAACTAGAAAGAAAATACAAACGAAAATCAAATCTATTCAAACAATGAACAGTACATGGAAACTTACCACTCTCAGTTCTTCATCAAAAATCGATTTGATAGACTCCGAATCTGCCTGAGTCCCGGACTCACTGAGCCGGTGTTCAATGGCGAGTCTTCTGTAATTCCAAGCCGTGTAGCACTCTGGATTAGATTCGACAAGCTTCGCATTGATCTCCAGGGCTTCTTTAGTATAACTAACCAAATCATCACAAAAAAAAAAAAAAAAAACCAAAACAATAAAATAAATATTCTTGACGAATGGATTAGGGTTTCAAACATATAAAGATACATAGCTATAAAAGGGGAGTTTCAGAAGTTTTACACTCTGTTTTGATGATAATGGAGGAATTGAGATTGAAGAGTGCGTATTTGAACAGCTTTAATAGCTGAGGCTTTTTCTTCCTCCGGAGTTTTGGCTTTACGAGGTCTTCCGTGCATTTTCCTGTTATGTGAGAGAGAGAGAGAGACAGATACGAGGAGATTCTGAGGGTGGATCAAAATTCGGAAGCTGACTAAATAGAACTGAACCCAACCCAGCCTTCAACCCGAACTCTTAACCCCTGAAACTAGGAGGGTCAGCTCAGACCGTTCATACTATAACTAGATGAATGATTATAAATTTAACAAGATTGTTAAATACACATAATAAATAATTTAAATTAATATTTAATATTCAAATGCACAAAATAGATTTTTTTTTCGTCAGTCTTGACACGAATAACACGACATGTAAGTCATACGAATACGACACGATCAACACTCCTACCTAAAACCACCCATGTTTTCGAAGTTCCAATCTCAAGCTAAAATTCGGGTTCAATTCTTGGGTTGTCCAAGTAACCCTAATATTTAGGGTAAAAGGGTGAATTGTATTTTGTAGTCTAACAAATTTAGAGATTTTTATTTTATATTCTCAAAAATTAATTTTTTAACATTACACATTCAATATATTAAAAATATTGCAATATAACACTTCCATTAATTTTGCTTACCTATTTCGTTCCACTGAGAAAGGTTCATTCCAAGTCATAAGAACAATCTCTTTCTTCTCAATTTTTTTTAATGAATTTTACTTTTCGATATGGTAATGCAATGCAAGAGATCAAAAATCAAATGTTTCTGATGATAAAAAGAGTTTTTCAAGAACATAACCAATTAAAGAAAGCCCTTTGAAAGTACATGTTTAGCCTGATCCAAGTAAATTAAGTGTAAAGAGTTCAAGTGATATAGACAACGCATTAATATGTTGATTTTTTATAGAATAAATTATATAAATTAACGGAAAGACTATATTACAATTTATTTTTTAATATATATGTGAAATGTGAAAATAGGGGTGGTCAATGGTCAGGCCGTGGCAAGACATTTTGGTTCAGGTAATGCTTTCTTTTTTCAAAGCTTCAACTTTTAGCTTTCTTTTTATCAAAGCTTCAAGCATTGATGACCCCCTCCTCCTCCTCCTCCTCCTCCTCCTCCTCCTTGATGACTTAGGAAAATAGGGTTTCAGAGTGTGCAACTACCAGAGTCTAAGTATTCTGGATGGCAACTAATTTTTATAAATAAACTTTGGAAGAATTTCCATTTAGACTAAAACTAAAAAGACATCCTTTCTTGACAGTTATTTAATCTTAATGGNTTCCTGTTATGTGAGAGAGAGAGAGAGAGAGACAGATACGAGGAGATTCTGAGGGTGGATCAAAATTCGGAAGCTGACTAAATAGAACTGAACCCAACCCAGCCTTCAACCCGAACTCTTAACCCCTGAAACTAGGAGGGTCAGCTCAGACCGTTCATACTATAACTAGATGAATGATTATAAATTTAACAAGATTGTTAAATACACATAATAAATAATTTAAATTAATATTTAATATTCAAATGCACAAAATAGATTTTTTTTTCGTCAGTCTTGACACGAATAACACGACATGTAAGTCATACGAATACGACACGATCAACACTCCTACCTAAAACCACCCATGTTTTCGAAGTTCCAATCTCAAGCTAAAATTCGGGTTCAATTCTTGGGTTNTTCGTCAGTCTTGACACGAATAACACGACATGTAAGTCATACGAATACGACACGATTAACACTCCTACCTAAAACTACCCATGTATTCGAAGTTCCAATCTCAAGCTAAAATTCGGGTTCAATTCTTGGGCTNTACTTCAGATTGATTTACAAGCATTTGTAACCATTAAATATATCCAATAGACAAAATAAATTCTACAATTTTAAATTTTAAATTTTTTATTAATTTTTTCCCATCAAATATGCAAAAATTAACAAACAAAACAAATATATATTATACATAAATATATCAGTTCATTTATAGATTTGTGTCGAACCCTAGTCAACTCGAACCCAATTAGTTCAAATTTTAATATGTAAAATTTTTTTTTAATAGGCTTGAATTTTAATTTGTAAAAAAATCAATCTTAATCAACTCAAATCTAATTTCAATTGGCTCAAATTTTAATACGTCAAAAAATAAATTTTAATCAACTCGAATTTTAATATGTAAAAAAATAAATTTTAATCAACTCAAATTTTAATATGTAGAAAAATAAATTTTAATCAGCTCAATTTTTAATCAAAATTTATGTAAAAAGATTGTCTGGAATTTATATAAGGGTAATTTTGGTATTTTAGATGGATTTTTTTGATAGAAACGATGGTTTAACAGCATAAAGTATTAATGATGTTCAAATATAAACTACAAGGAGTGTCAATAAAGATTCAACAAATAGATGGAATGTCAACGGAGATTCAAAAAATAGAAAGGATGTTCTTATAGATATACTAAACTATAAGGAATGTGACTGTAATATTCCCAAAAAAAACTTAATAAAAAGTAAATTATGCGTTAGTATAATTCCAAAACGTTATTACTTCATTCTTTTAGAAGATTACCAATAGGGCCCAGCCCGCTTAGTTGCACGGTGTTCCAAATCTACCCTTCCTAAAATATCCCAAAAATTATGGGTTATCTATGTATTTAGCTAGCTGCTCCAGTGTTTTCTCTTTGGCAAGAATCTCGTGGATTGAATTAGTCTATTGAGTTGTCGTTTTAGTCCCACCAAGTGGGGTGGTTGAGTGGGTTCTCAACCGAACTTCTCATCTTTAAGTTTTAGGTTTGAATTTTAGAGTTTATATTGAAATTTGATAATTGACTACAATGTTAACCTAGCTAAATTAATGGGTGCGGTTAAAGATTTTATAATCTCACAAATAAGGACCTATCAAGGTGATTTAAGAGCACTCTCTTTTGTTTTTATTTTTTTTAAACATATAAATAAAAAAAGAGAGATATTCTTTTAGTTACACTTTAAAAAAATTCAGGTTGGCAAAAACATTTGATATGGTTAACTTATTATCATCCCAACTAGGGCAAAGGCTACGGTACCGAAGGAGGTACCGTACCAAAAGTTACAATAATTTCATATTAAGTTATAATTTTTTTGAAATATATATTACAACTTTAAATGTTAAATTACAACTCAAATGAGAGAATTTATAACTGTTGAGGAAAAATTCTTGATCGATCATGTGTATCTATGATTGATCATAAACTTTATCTGAACGATTATAATTTCTTTCTTTTTATTATAAAAATAATAACATTCGGTACCATAGCGAAGGTGGTACCGTAGACTTTCCTCCCCCAACCACTCAACTGAACATTTGACCGGTGGAAAAAGTACAAAGATTGCGAATTGTGTTTGTTTAGTCGGTCCACACCAGCTACGATTCAGAATCAGAATAGTGGGGTACTTCTGTTGGCTAGAGTCAAGCACATAGGTGGATCACTCTCCAGAGAACGTGATAGTGAATCTAAGGGTGCGTTTGTTTGAGCTTTTTGTTTGGTGTTTTTTTTAATTTTTATTTTCAATTTTTATTAAAAAAATAAACAAAAACGTGTTTGATATTTATTTTTATNTTGAAATATATATTACAACTTTAAATGTTAAATTACAACTCAAATGAGAGAATTTACAACTGTTGAGGAAAAATTCTTGATCGATCATGTGTATTTATGATTGATCATAAACTTTATCTGAACAATTATAATTTTTTTCTTTTGAATTGTAATTTTATTATAAAAATAATAACATTCGGTACCATAGCGAAGGTGGTACCGTAGACTTTCCTCCCCCAACCACTCAACTGAACATTTGACCGGTGGAAAAAGTACAAAGATTGCGAATTGTGTTTGTTTAGTCGGTCCACACCAGCTACGATTCAGAATCAGAATAGTGGGGTACTTCTGTTGGCTAGAGTCAAGCTCATAGGTGGATCACTCTCCAGAGAACGTGATAGTGAATATAAGGGTGCGTTTGTTTGAGCTTTGGTGTTTTTTTTTATTTTTATTTTCAAGTTTTATTAAAAAAATAAACAAAAACGTGTTTGATATTTATTTTTATTTTTTTTTTCATCTAAATTATCTTGAAAATAAGTTAAAAAACTGGGAACAAAAAAAATATGTTCTAAGAAACAACCCAAAACATGAAACACGCAGTGGCTGACTCAATCTTTTAATGAGGTCTCCGATTCGAAATAGATTTAAAATATTGATTTAATGAATTATTACCATTGAATAGATACTGAATCCAAATAAATATTGGAACCTACAGTTAAATTAATGACAAATATAACAACTACGTCATTAAGTCAAGGAANACCAGCTACGATTCAGAATCAGAATAGTGGGGTACTTCTGTTGGCTAGAGTCAAGCTCATAGGTGGATCACTCTCCAGAGAACGTGATAGTGAATATAAGGGTGCGTTTGTTTGAGCTTTGGTGTTTTTTTTTATTTTTATTTTCAAGTTTTATTAAAAAAATAAACAAAAACGTGTTTGATATTTATTTTTATTTNCTGGAATTTATATAAGGGTAATTTTGGTATTTTAGATGGATTTTTTTGATAGAAACAGTGGTTTAACAGCATAAAATATTAATGATGTTCAAATATAAACTACAAGGAGTGTCAATAAAGATTCAACAAATAGATGGAATGTCAATGNCATCAAAAACTCTGCAGTTAAACGTGCTTGAGCGAGAATAATATTAGGATGAGTGATCCCCTAGAAAGTCCTTATGTTGCACCACTTTTAAAAAATATATTAAGGGACCTAACGATGCATAATCATTGGATTTGTTATGAGCTCCATCTAACATTGAAACTTACAATTAATCCAGTAATTGCATTGAAACCACATCATTAGATCCCTAAATCAGATTTCAGTAACATTGCTCTTCGGTCAAAATTTCAAGCCAACTTTTTAAAATTGTGTACCATTGCTCAGTTAAAAAAAAGGCAATAAATNGAACAAAAAAAATATGTTCTAAGAAACAACCCAAAACATGAAACACGCAGTGGCTGGCTCAATCTTTTAATGAGGTCTCCGATTCGAAATAGATTTAAAATATTGATTTAATGA